CCTCGACTTGAGACCAACTCGAGTTGCAACCAGAGTCACGGAACGGATAAAGTTCGTAACTAGAGGTACCACTGTATTTGTTAGTTGTTTAATATCTATATGGGGAAATAAACCAGAGATGCTGATTGTATACCATGCAACATACTGTCTCCTGTCTCCTCTGCCTTCTTCTGCTGGTACTGGCAGGAAGGTAGTAGTTGTCACCTTTCCTTTGCTCTCCTCTACTCTCCTTACCCTTCCTGCTCTAAATGATTCGTCACTATCCGTCAGTCTTGCCATTTTCTCCTTGCTAGACTCTCACTGCTAGCTTTGATCTGCCTGCTTATAAAGAGACAGATTAACAACATGAGTGGTAACTATCAGTTATTTACTTACAACATTCAGAATGACTTTTTCCTCTCCACTAGGTGTTAATACAGTTTTTATTAATATTATTTATTTGATTTATCCTAGGAGTCGTCTCATTAAATTTTAAAATGTAAACAATTAAAATGGTGAAAACATGGGAAGGAACTCCAAAATACTGATGGAAATCTTTTATAAGGGTTTATTTCATGAATCTTGCAAAATAATATATTTTGGGTTGGGAATCTATGTTTACTGTTTTGCCTTTTTCTTTAGCATGTGACTCTACTTGCCTGGCCAAAGAACTTTCATATTGAACTCACATTTACTGTATCTTAAAGAGGTCAGTATATGGATGAATGCTGTGCATGAAGAATTCTCCTTTAAAGCAAGGAATTGGACTAAATGGATTTAATTTAATTTATTTTAATTTAATTTAACCTAATTTTGTAAAGTAAATAGTTTTTATACTTTATTTAGGAAAAAGGGTAGAATTTACCTCCATTCTCTCTTGTTTTACATCATCTATCTCATCATCTTCAAACAAGGCCAAGAGCTCCCCAGTCTGATCAATAGAAATAAGAAAGTCTTGAGCAATTTTCTGACGTTTGTTAGTGCTGCTACTGAATTTGTCTGAAAGAGATCAGAGAAGGAAAATATACAGCTGTTTTGATGCAAAACAGGGGTTCCATTAAAGCTTCTAAGCAAGTGTTGAAGTCAAGCTAGCTGAATGAAGAGAACCATTTTAATTTAATTCTCCCTGCAACCCCATCCCCCATGACTCCTGAAAACCTATACCAGAAAGCTGAGGAATACCACTGAAGTGGGGGGAAAAAAACCCCTTTGGACCTATTAGTGTACAGAAGACAACTCTGATAAGGGTGAGTCTAAGGCTTCTTGAAAAAACAATCACTTCTGTATGATCTTCCCAGTCAGAGAGCACGGTCATGGTCTTACCATCATCCTATCTGCCAGATTTCTCCATCTTTCCTGCACTGCTTTGACTGATCACTCTTGATTGTTTTTTTTTTTAAACTAGATCTGAAATCAGTGACCTTTCTGACTGAAACCCTGCAGGCTTTGGGCAGGGACAAGATAGGAAGATGCCAGAGAAGAGGGAGAAATCAGCAAAAATCACCTCTATCAATCTGATTTCCAGTGGTAGTAACTCTGTGTGGTGTTCATAGGATACTATCGCTGGTGGAAGACCACTCTGAATGCAACCTAAAGTATGTTGAAAAAGTTACCTAAATATAAATTTGGAAATGTAATTTCATATACAAACATACTATAAGCCATCTATCCATCTCTCTCTCTCTCTCTCTCTCTCTCTTCCAAAGTCCCTGAATCAAGTATGATGTTTTGAAAGTATTGTTTTACATGAAGCTCACCATTTCTTTAATAAACATTCATACATGAATGCAAAGGTTGAAAATGATTTTGGAAATCATTTTCCTACATTTGGATGTAGGAATCACCACTATAGCTTCTCAGACAGAAGGCCAATTAGCCTCTATTTAAGACCCACACTCTCCCAAGGTTTTAGAACAACCTTTACCTCTAGGGAAATTTCCTGATGTCCAAACAAAATGAAAATCAACTCTAGCAATGTGGTCTGACTAACGTCTGTGGTCTGACTAATGTAAAATAAACTTCTCTTGATCTTGACACTGTATTTCTGCTGAGCCAACAGAGGATTCTATTTGCTTGTTTTGCAGCTGTATCATAACACTGGCTGATGTTCATCCTGTAATCCACCAAGACATCCAGATCTTTTTGGCATGTATTGTTGCCCAATATGGTGCCCCCTCTCCAGCCCCCATGCAAGCGTCCATTCTATACTTATGTCTTTTATTTTTTTCTGCCTAATGTAGGACTTTTCAAGTACCTCTGCTAAAATTCATCTTGTTGGTTTTCGCCTATTGTTCCAGCATATCAAGATCCTCCTGAATCTTGATACTGTCCTCCAAGGGATTTGCTAACTCTCCTATCTTTTTCTCTTTGAAGTCTCTATTTGCTACACTATATTCAAGATGTATCTCCATTCCTTCAGATCCCCAATACTCTGTGTATAAATAAATACAATCAACTCCATTCAATGCATCCAGTAAGTTTCATATCCTACAACCTTTCCAATCACCAGATGTTTGTTTGTTTTGCTTTCTTCCCCTCTCACACTTATCAGGACTAATCATTGTTTCACACTAAGCACTTGGATTTTAAAATAGATCCCAGGAATCTGGAAATCCCATGTGAGTAAATTTTAGGGGAAATGCAACCAACTTACAGTGATTACATATTCTATAACTATTTCATTAAAATGGAAAAATAGTATTTACAAAATACCCATCTTAATTTTAGATCAGTATTAAAGGGAATGGTTCTGCCAATATTTTTAATAAGTTAACTAAATTATAGTTCAAATTAATGTTGCAAATGTAAGTTGTAAATTAAAGATGAAATTAGTAAGACCTTTAATCAGTACCAGTTCCCTAGCTAAACATAATTGTTGATATTACAACAGCTCTGCTTATCAAATAGTTGATGGACGGACATTCTGCACTTTTATAAGTAATTGGAATGGAAAAGAACTGGGTTAAATGAAGTTCCCCACTAAGTAAATATTTCTGAATGTTTAAAGCTACCTAGAAGGGGAATATATTTCCATTTGGTACATATAGAGCATATGTTAAATATTCCCCATAGAAAGGCAACTTATGTAGAAGCTTTCATACCTTCAAGAAGATCATCGTCATCGATGCCTTTGACAACTTTAGATTTGTAATCTCGGAAAAACATGTATTTAAGTAATCTTCGAAGTTTCTTCTAGTAAGAAAAAAATGGATACTAATTAAAATGAATACAGACACTGCCTGCTAACATTCAGAATTAAAGGAGAAATTTGAAGTATTGTACCTGCAACTTTAGATTACGTATCCAAATGTATATACACAGAGTGACACTACTTGTCCTAAAACAGCAACATGCAGAATTCAACATGAAGTATATGCAGAAACTCAAGTTAATCAATGTTGAAATTCCAAGCATAAGTCTGTCAATGAACATCAAATCAGATGTATCTTTTGTGCAGATGTATTTTAATACTAGTTTTCCTTGCGTACATTATACTCTTCATTACTTTCTTTGCCAGTTCAATAAGCCAGCCAGACTGAAACAATGAGGAAGTTTGGTTCAAAATTCCTTTTTGTTTTATTTAAACAAAGTGGAAAGTGAATAAAAACCTAAGAGGATAGCATGCTGTAGTCAAGCACCTTTATTTTCTTGTCGTAAATTAGGCAATAGTTGAATTTATCTCAAAACAAAACAGGGTGCTTTCAAGTAGCTAGCTGTTTTGTATCATTACAGTTTATTGATCACTCCAATATGTTCTCCTATTTTTCTTAATCATGAGAACCTAATATTTCTAATGTGTCAATAGTCAGGGAGAGAAATGAGACTTCTCATCAGTTCATACCAAACAGGGCAGCAACTGTGGGTGATACCAAACACAATACAATATTGTGTTTGGTATCACCCACAACCATGATAATAGGGAATGTTCATAATTTTGCAGTTAAGAAAGGAAAATTTGTTTCCCCAGATTTTGCTCTCCTCATAAAAATGCCTGTATTTGTTATATTTTTGGAAAAGCTACTGTACCTCCAAGTCTCCTGTATTTTGGTCATAGGTCCTACAGACAATTCTCCTTTATAACTTTGATTATAATGGACTCTTATTTGCCTTAATAAACTCAGCTTGAACCCCTTTAAGGTACATGGGTTGGAGTGGGGCAAGAGAGAAGGAGAAAGAACAAGCATAAAGCAGTAATTATTTAGGGAAAAAAATGTGTCAGAGGGTTTCTCCTACTCACAACATTTATACTGATCTGGCATCAGTGTTGTGTTGCTATGTTCCCACAAAATCATCCTCTTTGGAAAGTTGAGATTACTTTGATACAATTACAGCATCAGAGCAACCTTAGCTTCACCTAGTCCTGGGTTCCTCAACCTCAGCAGAGTTGTGTTGTC